ACAGCAAAGGCTGGCAAAGTTGTGGAGAAACTGGAACACTTATTCAGTGTTGGTGAGAGTACAAAATGGTGCAACCACTATGGAAGGCAGTATGGCACTTTCTCAAAAAGTTGCAAATTGAAATACCATCTGACCCAGCAATTCCACTACTGGGAATATACCTTAAGGAAATCAGAACTGACACCCAAGCAGATAAATGAACACCCATGTTTACTGTGGCTTTGTTCACAATAGCAAAGAGCTAGAAACAACCCAAGTTCCCATCAACAAACAAACAGATAGAGAAGCTCTGGTATATTCACACAATGGAATACTATGCTGTATTGAAAAACAACTCATGAAGTATTATACAAAATGAGTGACCTTGGAGGACATTATGCTGAGTGAAATGTCTCAGTCATAAAAGGACAAAAATACCGCTTCGTGCCACTGTTGTAAATGGGACTGACATTAAGGGTGGGGGGACTTAAGAAAAGAGGGGGTACATAACTTAATACTGCATTGCAATAGATGAGGGAGAGAACTGTTTAAAAGGAATATAGGATTACGTATTATTTTCATGCAAGATTACAGAAAAAGAAATGCAAATTAAAGTGGACTGGGGGGATTGTATAGAAATGAAAGAATTTTTTTTCTTCAAAGAGAAAAACGAACCGAGGGGAGGGGCGGTAGAAAGGAAAATGTGCAACAACGAATGAATGGGTGGAAATTAAATGGAAAAAATACATATGTTGCATTAAAAAAATAATTAATTATTTAATTAAAATTTAAAAAACATGCTGAAGAATCATCTCATAGCTGACCTTCTGCAGCTAGTTTTTGGAGGCAGTAAATCCACAGGATACCAATTTGACCCAGCAATTCCACTACTAGGAATATATCCCAAAGAGACCATAACTGACATGCAAGCAGATATATGCACACCCATCTTTATCGCAGCTCTGTTCACAATAGCAAGGAGTTGGAAACAACCCAGGTGCCCATCAACAAACGAATGGATAGAGAAGCTGTGGTATATTCACACAATGGAATACAATGCTGCATTGAAAAACAAGGAACTCATGCAATATTATTCAAAATGGGTGACCCTGGAGGACAATATGCTGAGTGAAATATCTCAGTCGCAAAAGGACAAATACTGCATGGTGCCACTGTTGTAAAATGGGACTGATATCAGGGTTGGGGTAAGACTGAGAAAAACTGGATAAACTGTATATACTGCACTGAAACAGATGAGGGAGTGAATAATTTAAAATCAATGTATGATAGGGTATTATGGTTATCACAAGAGTCCACAATTAAAGTTGCATAGTGGAATGTACTTGGGGCAGTGGAAGGAGTGCAGGGGGGATTGTGTACCAGGGAGGGAGAGTTTCTTTTACTTTTGAAAGAAAGGAGCGAATGGGGCAGGGGGGGAGAGTTGGAGGGGGGAGAGAAGTGCAGCAATGAATGAATGGAAATCCAAAATCTCTGTAAATGCTCATTAAAATTATTTAAAAAAAAAAAAGATGCTGACTATAATCATTATGCCATACTGGCAATATCTACTGCAATTAAAATGTTAAATCCTTTTTTATTCTCTAAAAATGCCAATCATAGTAAGTGCTACTGCTAATAATAATCAACAACTTTCAATCAGAAGTACACTATGATAAATTCTATAGGGAAGGCTTAATTACTTTCATTTTATACAGAGCTGACAATTTAAGAGAAAACATGCTGAAGAATCATCTCATAGCTGACCTTCTGCAGCTAGTTTTTGGAGGCAGTAAATCCACAGGAGACAACTAGTTTTTCTCCCATGCAGCCCAGGTGGATTTCAAACTGCCAGAGGTGCCACCTTTGGGTCAGTAGCACATCCCAACAGACTATATCACCAGAGGTCCCTAATTTAGAGGGAGATAATCTCCAAAATATTAGAGATTAAAACAAGAAAACAAAAAGCAGTATTAAAGTAATAGTATGTCTCCATCACTGTGTAAGTCTTCTTGTGGGAAAATGAGATTTGAGTGACAGGAGATTGAAATTATGCAAAATCTTCCCGATTACCTCTTTCCCTTTAATGGAAACAACTCTGAATATGTAAACTTTCAGTAAAAAACAATGCTCTTCTCTTTTTTCATGTAGGCTACTAAAATGTCATCAAGATTGAGGAAAACCTAGAAACTTAGAGGCCATGTGAACCACCGTCATGGGCACATCTGGAAGCACCATGGAGACTAAGGTAATGGTGGTGGCCTGCATTACCACAAGATCAAAGTTGACAAGTATTATCCAGGTTATTTTGGAAAGGTTGGTATGAGACATTATCACCTGAAGAGGAATCAGAGCTACTGCCCAACTGTCATCCTTGGCAAATTACGGACAAATTAAGACAGAGCTTACAGGGTAAATGCTGCCAAAACCAAAACTGCAGCTGTTCCCAGGACTAATGTGCTTTGATTGGGCTACTACAAAGGTTTGGGGAAGGGAAAGATCCCAAAGTAACCAGTCTTTGTGAAGGCCAAATTCTTCAGCAGAAGAGCTGAGGAGAGTATTAAGGTTTTTGGGAGGACCTGTGTCCTGGTGGCTTGAAACTGTTAATTATGTGAAGGTTGGCTAATTAAATGATAAGTTTTTCCCCATTAACAAAAAATTAGTTCTCTGAAAACATGATTTTCATTACTTCTGGCTCTCTGTTCCATCAAATTATTTTTTAATATGGTCTTGATAATCTTTGGAGAAATTAAGTCTGTAAACTGAGTCTGTGATTATTTTGAACTTCAAAGTGTCATCTTTGTACCTAAATAATTTCCCAATTCACCCTACCATCCTAACCACAGTATGGCAGGAGATCAGAGGTATGTAAACTGCTAGAGTCACTAATATGCTTTCTTTGTTTCATTTCCTATTGACGACTTACTTGAAAAGGTGGAAACAAAGCTAGTCAACTTATAGTGTACTCTGATACGAAATCAACAATTTCATTAGCCTTTGAATTTATGTGACTTTCAAAGAAGCAAAATTTTTACTTTGCAATTAATCTCCTTTTATCCTTTCTTGTGATGACATACACAGCAAAAGATACATCAATTCCATAACTGATTCCATTCTTCATGTTGTCCAATTATTCTCATTATCCTTTACCAAAGTATTTCTTCTCTGTGAATATAACCTCATTGCCCCTGAACTTCTTATCCAACTTTTCACAATATTGTTGTCAATCTGATTCCAGATAGACAATTCCTTTAAAAAAGCAAAAGGATCAAGGCAAACATTCTTCATTAATTAAGCTAAACAACTGTTTCAAAGAAGACTTCAGTACACAAAATTTTGGCTTGTGGTTTAAAAATTACTGCAGGGCAATAGTTCATCACAGGGTACATTTAGTCTCAATGACACCAGAAATCCCTTTATAAAATCTTTTCCACACATCCCCCTCTTTTGAGCAGGAATATTCTATAAGATATAACTTGAATCCAACAAAATTCCAGAATTTTCTTAATTGACAAATACTTGGATCCCCAAAAGAACAAACAAATCTGTCTTGAGGAAGTGCAACCAGTGCTCCTTAGAGACAAGGATGGTGAAACGTCTCACATATTTTAAGCATGATGTCAGGACATGATAATTCTTAGCAAAAGACAGCATGCTAGGAAAGGTAGACGGTCAGAGAAAAAGAGGAAGACCCTGAACAAGATAGAATGACACAGAGATTTTAACAAAGAGCTCAAATCTATCAGAGATTGTAAGGATGTGCAGGATAGAGCAAAGTTCAGATATGTTGTTCACAGGGTCACTCTGGTCATAGTTGACAGTATCTAACAACAACATAACTATAGAACCATAGTTGCTAAATGGAGTTGTTTTTTGTTTTTGTTTTGTTTTACAAGGCCAAAAATGACGTTAACTAGTAAAATGTGGCATTAGAACTAGTGGAATATTCATCAACGACCTATGTTATGCAAATAACACCACCTCATTCACCAAAACTGAGGAAGACTTAAGCATTTGCTGCAGAAGGTCAAGGACTAAAACCTTAAATAGGGATTGCATCTCAACATCAAGAAAACAAAAACCCCACCACTGGGCCAACTGGCAGTGTCATAACAGATGGACAAAAGACTGAGGTTGTTAATTATTTCATCTTGCTCAGATCTACAAACAACACTTTTGGCACTAGCAGTCAGGAAATCAAAAAACGAGTTGCTTTGGGGAAGTGTCCTGTCAGAGACCTCTCCAGAGTGCTAAAAACCAACAATGTCAGTCTAGAGACTAAGATGTGCCTGATCCAGCCTATGCTATGCACGCTTGCTATGCATCTGAGAGTTAGACAGTAACTAAGGACAGAAGAATTACCAATGCCTTTGAGCTGTGGTGCTCAAGAAGATATTGAGCATACCACAGACTGCCAAGAGAACAATCATGTCTGTCCTGGAGAGGGTAAAACCAGGTTGCTCCTTGGAGGAAACTCCATCTCACCTGCTTTGGGCATTCTGTCTTGAGGGACCAGTCCTTAGAGGAGGACATCATGCTTGGAAAGGTAGAGGGTGAGCACAGAAGAGAAAAACCCTGGACAAAATGGACTGACAATGACTGTGACAATGGGGTCAGGTGTGTCAGAGACAGTGAGGATAGGGCGAGGTTCAGAGCTGCTGTTCATAAGGTCGCTATGAGTCACAGTAGATTTAACAGCACATAACAACAACAATAATATATACTATCATCACTGCTAGTTAAAATCTGATACTCTTAATATTTAAAAATAGTTAAGATGACTTAGAGACAAAGTTTAGAAGGAAAGTTAGGTCTATAATGTTTCTCTGTGCCACTGAAGTTTTCCAACTTTCACAGGGTGCAATCGAATCATTCTGATCTCCATTAGTGGAAATTCTTTTTTTTCCATCTCTGGCAGGTTTCTGCTTTACACAAGTTCCATGCAAAGAAGTTAAATAAATTGTCATGATTAAAAGACTTAAATATAGCAAAAACCTATCCTGTGTCATGCAAGTGTATCTTACCTTTCTGTTGATTCCTTGGAAGTGGCAGAGCGTCTACGAACAACCTTTTTACTTTTCTGGTCTAGAGAGATGACTTTGTTTCTTAGGCTTCTTTTCAACTAAGAAATAAGAAGAATATTTCATTTCAATAATGAATACAGCAATGAGATAATTAAGAAGCATCTAAAATTTAATTTTAATTAAAAAAATTAACTCATGATTAATAGTGCAGTGTCTAGGATATCTGATTCTGTTGTTAGTACAGTCATATTGTTTTTGTGTACAATCAAGTCAGAAATGACTCAAAGCTGACCCTTGAGCAGGTTTTCAGAGGCAGTCTGGACAGCTAGTGGATTTGAATCACATACTTTTGTGCTGTCAGTGCAACTCCTTACCACTAGGCCACCAGAGATGCTTCCGGTACAGGATGCATAGGCTCACAAAAAAAACAGAAGACATTCAAAATGGAAAAGCAACTTCAATAAGTAATAAATACTTTGAGATTCCACAGCTTGAAATAATTATTAAAATTTTGGCACGAGTTTAAAGTAAGTAATAAAATCTATATGTCAGGTTAAATAGGGCCTGTGACTGAATCAACTGCAATTATACCAACTGGAAAGGATTACAACTTGTTCCCTATGAAATGTGGCATGAAAAACAGTAGGAAAAAAGTTAACAGAGCCAAGTAAAAGGGTTAAGATTTAATGTGATTAGCAAGTAAGTCACAAAATTACTTGTATAATTCAAAAACAGTAAGAACCTAAGAAAACACTCTTATGTTCTCTACACATTGGTTTCCTTATCTGTAAAAGCAGCAACAGAAGAAGCTATTTCTTTCATAGGGATGTGTGACATGTGTTGTTGTTGTTATATGCCATCGAGTCTCCTGTGACCCACAGCGACCCCATGTAAAGTAGCTCTGAACTTCTCTGGCCTGAACCAGTCTCACTAATTCCAGCAAATCAACCCCCATTGTCCCAGATACAGTATCACCATTGCCCCAGATACTGTATCTTATCCCAGGTCTTGCTCTCCTGCACTGTCCCTCCACCCTTCCAAGCATGAGCTCCTTCTCCAAGGATTGCTCCCTCTGACCATGTGCCCACAGTATATGAGATGAAGCTTCAAAATCCTAGCCTCCAAGGCGAAACTTGGTTTTATTCTGTCCAAGACGACCTATTTCTTTTCTTGGCAGTCCATGGTATGGTCAAGACTCTTCAACACCACAATTTGAAGGCATCGATTCTTCTTCTATCCTCTTTAGTCACTGTCCAACTCTCTGAAGCATAACAAGTAACTGAGAAGACCATGGCCTGGCTTAGGTGCACCTTAGTCTCTAGACTGACATCGCTGCTTTTCAGCACTCTGGAAAGGTCCCTGACAGCAGATTTTTCCCAATGCAATTCATCTTTTGATTTCCTGACTGCTGGAGCCAAGAACATTGATTGTAGAGCTGAGCAATCTCTTCACCATCATGGTACTGTCAGTTGGCCCAGTGGTGAGAATTTTTGTCTTCTTGATATTGAACTCCATTAAATCCATACTGAAGACTACAGTCCTTGACCTTCTGCAGCAAGTTCGTCAACTCTGCCTCAGTTTCTGCATATTTTAGATTGTTGTGTCTACCTCCAGTCCTGATGCCACACTCCTCTTCATAAAGCACAGCTTACTAAATGATCTTTTCTGCATATAGATTAAAAGATATGAAGACAGGATACACCACTGATGTACTCCATTCCTGATTTTGAACCATGGAGTTTTGCTGCTTTGTTCTAAGGGCTGTTACACATATGTAACAAGTTTTAAAAAAAAAAACTGTCTTTAAAAAAACTGTCTTAAATATGAAAGTCCTCAATAAGCGCTGCTCTTTTTTTGCTCCACTTTTTTCTCATTATTGCAACAGCTGTGTAAAACATAAGATGTAACTCTTTTTCAGAGGAAAATTAAATTCAAATGTTGCTCACTGTATCTAAGTCTGACATAATGTCTATGTTCCTTCCAGTAGAGTAACCCTAAATGCTACAAACTTGCCCTATCAAGATAAAAATTAGAAACTACCATACACTTGGAAAGGAAACTGTTGGTAACTTGTCACATTCCCTGGACCTTTGTCTGCTCAGGCAAAGAAAAAAGCTCCCTCCCAGTCAGCCCTGGAAAGGAGACTGGTATGAGAGTCAGCCATTACCACCTACTAAGACTTGGGGGTAGCACTATTAGGATCTTGCCACATTCCTGGACCTTTTCCCTGAGCAATATATTCCAGGCAGCATTACTGAGATTCTGTTCATCCCTGGGGGAAACCATTTACTCCCTTCTCCCACTCAAACTACAAGATAGGACAGAGAAGCAGACCAACACAGCTTGGTAAAGAGAAAGATCCCAGCTCCCTGAATCTCAAAGCACAATAGGATGAGAAGCTTGCCACAGAAAACAGTGAAAACAGTCACACACAACCAGCAGGAAAGATTGCCTGTGGGAAACTGCAATCAGTGGCAATATTTAAAATGTGCAACTAATCAACAGCATCATAAAGACAACTAACTGTCAACACCTACATACACACAACAGAAATTGTCTCACACACCAAGAACTTCACATAATATCAAGTAAGCAACAGGCAACTTCAAACATTATGACAAACAAAACAAGACTTCTCCTAAAAGCAAACCAGACTGCAGACTCAAATAATATCCAAGAGAAAGAGGGGGGCAGTAGAAATACATCAACATGGAATTATAGAAACAGCTACTGAAAAAGTTACAAATGATGGAAGAAAGACTTGAAACCACAGAGGTACAAAAATTTAAAAAACATCACAAGACAGAGTACAACACAGTACCAAAAACAATAGAAATGCATGAAAATGCAATCTAGAATATCAAGACAGAAATGGAAGAGTTTTTCTACATGTTGGAGGAACAAAAAAGCAAAACAGAAGAGATGGAAACGAGCATTACTGAGCTAGAACACAAGAACCTCAATGCTAACTTAGTATAGAAAAAAAAAGATGGAAGGAAACTGAAGAAAACATCAGAATCATGTGGGATAACAACAAATGGAACCATATATGTGTGATAAGAACAAGGGGGTGAGAGGGGCAAAGTAATAAGAAAACTATGGACAGATACTAGAAGAAAATTTCCCAAGTATCACAAAAATCTATTAAATTGACTTTCAAACAGCTCAGCAAACTCCAAATAAACTACAACCAAAAAGAAGAACATCAAGACATAGTCAAATTCTTCAAAACCAGAGATAATAGGCTACTTAAAGTAGCACAAGAAAAACAATGAGTCACCTACAATGGAGGACCAATTAGATTAAACTCTGACTTCTCAGTAGAAACCATGTAAGCAAGGAGACAGTGGAATAGCATATACAGAAGGCTGAAAGAAAACAAATGCCAGCCAAGGATCCTATACCCTGTAAAAGCTCTCCATCAAATGTGAGGCAGAAATTAGGTAATTTGCAGAAAAGCTGGAACTTTAGCAATTTTGTGAAAATGAGATCAACTCTACAAGAAAACACTAAGGGAAGTCCTTCACAGAAAGACAGCAAAGTAATGTGGATAGACCAAAGTAACCAGCAACAACAGGAAAAACAAATATGGCAAAATTGCAACAATAAAGCTCGGCCTATCAATAACCACCCTTAATGTAAATTAAAAAAAAAAAAAAGAGTAGCAGAATGGATAAAAGTACAAAGCCCATCAATATGCTGTCTAAAAAATGGGAAAGATCTGGTGTGGAAAAGATATGGAATATATATGTGTGAAAAAATATATACAAAATTTGTAGGCCAACCAGTATAAAATTTTTTATCTATCTATACACACACATCTCTCTCTTTCTCTCTCTCTCTATATATAATATAGAGAGAGAGTGAGAGAGAGAGAGAGATCCCCTATAAGAGACAAATCATCATAAAAATACTGGCCAAAAGAATCCAAAAGTTTTGTTTGTGTGTGTGTGTTCGTTTGTTTATTTATTTTTAATTTTATTTTGTGTGTGCATGTACTCTCAAATTGAATCTGACTGGTACAGAAGGAGACTGTCCCTCCTTTCCCAGCAGAGCATCTGGTGGATTTGAAGCACACACCTCTGGGATTGCAGTGCAGCTTCTGTCACTAGGCCACCAGAGCTCCCTTGAATCCAACAGTACTATAAAAAAAAAATTCATTGTGACTAAGTAGGATTTGTAACGTATGCAAAAGGATGGTTCAACCTAAGAAAAGCAATATAATTTATCACATTAACAGGGCAAAGAACAATCTACCAGATGCTCTGCTGGAAAAAGAGGGGCAATCTCCTCCTGTGCCAGTCGGAACTGACTCAACAGTATACAACAAGGAAAAAAAAAGCAAAGAACAAGAACCACATAATTCTATATATATTGATGCAGACTAGGTTTTGACCAAATACAACACCCCTTCCTGATTCAAACACTCAAAAGACTAGGAATATAAGATAGTTTCCTTAAAATAATGAAAAATATATACACAAAACCAAGAACCAACATTCTCAGTGGAGAAAAACTAAAGGCATTACCCTTGCAAACAGGGACCAGACAAGGATGTCCACTATTCCCACTCCTTTACAAAACTGTACTGTAAATACTTGCTAGGGTAACAAGAAAAGGAAATATGAGGCATTTAAATTGGCAGAGAGAAGGCAACGTTGTCATTATACGGAGATGATATGATAGCATACAGCAAGATACAAGATCAACAAACAAAATTCAGTGAGATTTCTCTAAAACAATAAAGAAAGGATAGAAAAGAAAACTAAGAATCTTTTACACTAGCCAACCACAGGATTAAATTATTGGGAATAAATCTAACTAGAAACACAAATGATGTCTCTAAAAGAAAACTGCAAAATATCACTGGTAGGAACAATAATAGACTTACTAAAAGGACAAATACTCTGTTCTTGGATAGGAAGACTTAACATTGTGAAAATGACAATCCTATCAAAAACAATCTACATATTCAACACAACCCCAATATAGATACCAAATTCATTCTTCAAAACCAGAGAAAAAGCAACTTATTTGGAAAGGAAAGAGATCTCAAATAAGCAAAGCTTGTCTGAAAAACAAAAACGGAGGAGGAGGC